AATTTTTAAGCTCCCAATCAACACAGTAATTAATTTATTCCTATCAATTCATTTCACTGTTTGCTTTAAAGAGTATTAAATGCAGGCTCACAGGCAGAGAGTGAACAAGAGAGGCAGCACATGTACATGTGGTAAATGAACACAATGGCTCAGGGTAGAGACAGCTACCAGTAGTCTGGATACAGGATGCTACTTACTGGACAACTCTGCATTCTCAAAGAACCTAAAATATCCTTCCATCCCTTTCCTGAACAAACTGGCTCCCAAGGGGGGGGGGGATTCTTAGCTTGATAAAAATTTTATCAAAAATCAGAATTGTCTTTTCATCTTTACTCTTCATGCCCATATAGGGTAGGACTGAAGGAGTTTGAATGCTAAAGCAATGGAAAATGAACCAGCTCATCCACAATTTTTTAACAGTGAACCCTATGACCTCAATTGATACTTAAAACTTATTACAGCTGTTATTTTATTATTTTTCTCTCACTCTCTTTTACCCTTTCTTTCTTAAGGGAAAAGAGCTACTAGAAAAGTAGAATAAAAAATAATGGCTAACAAAACCACAACACAAGGAAAAGAAGAACCATGGTGCAATCTGCCAATATAAATGTTCCTTCTCTTCAGGGATGGCTAACAAACTCAAATGTTTCTAATGAACCACTGGCAAACTACCAAGTGTACAGTCTTACATCTCTCCAAACTCATAACCACCATTTATCTGTAACAGACACGTGAAAATGACAATCTTAAATGCTAGGTATGGAAAAGAACTTAGGCCATTTCCTTTGGTTTGATGAGGTCAGGATTATTCCAGAAAACTAGAGTATTCTAGTGCTTTGCTGAAGAATTCCCTACAGAAATGTGCCAACTATCTTTTTTTAATTAATTTTTTAAAATTTATATACGACAGCAGAATGCATTACAATTCATATTACACATACACGGTACAATTTTCACTGGTTTTATACAAAGTATATTCACTGGTTGAATACAAAGTAAATTCACACCAATGCCAAGTGTCTTTTCCTCAGGGAAGCCTATTTCTTATTCTAGATCCAGAGTCATACATATGCATTTATCAGGCTCTTTGCATGTTGCATTTTCTTCATATTTCTTCTACTTATCAATTTCTCTACTTACACTGAGCAAGTTCTTTTGCTTTTGATAATTAAATAATTCAAATGAAATAACTTAAACCTTTAAAAATACAATGAGTCCTACATTGACTATAGAGTGAAGAATCTGTTGTTGTCAATAGTCACAGGAAGGATGTTGCCTTTCTCCTCTTAAACTCTACTTAAATAATTTTGTTTTCATATAAATCATCAGCAAGAAAAAACTTACAGTAAAAACATAGTTATAAGTGCTTTCTGTTCTTAATTCTTTATATTGCTAATTTATTGTTTAATTTATAAGAAAACTTTTATGAAGTAGGAACTATTATTGCTGTTTTAAAATGAGAAGACTAATGAGTGCAGACAGGTTAAATAGCTTGCTGAGGCCATGGAGCTAATAAGTGGCAGAGACAGAACTCAGATTCAGGTTCTTTTATTGTAGGAAGTATGCTTTCTCTTTCCACTCCCTACCCCAGAATTGGGAATTACACTGGGGTGTTCTACCACTGGGCTACATCCCCACCCCTTTTTAATTTTGAAATAGGGTCTCACTAAATTGCTGAAGCTGGCTTTGAACCTGAGGTCCTCCTGCCTCGGTTTCCTTAAGTTGCTGGGATTATAGGCATGTACCACCACACCTGGCTTGGAACTCTGCTTTTCTTAGTATCAAAAGTACTCAGACACATACAATCATGCTATCTGCAGGGTAAAAACCTCCTTACAAACTGACAACAGAACATATTCTGAACAAATTTTTGGAAACTGAGGCACCTTTGGCCCAGGCCAGATAATTAGAATTTGCTCAAAATATAGACAGCAGGAGTTCAGAACATAGAAGAGGAAAGACTATTTCCTCAGTCAGCTACACAGTGAAAAGGAACTGAAAATTTACTGTATTTGGAACCCATGATACGTCATTTATGGTGCTTTTAGTATAATTACACTTAGATTTAACTGTGGAGTTTTTAGTAGAGGCTCTATGAATCATTACTTTATATTGAAAGCTAAACTTTAAAAATATATTTTTTTTCAAAAGAGTATAGGAATTTTTCAAATTACTGTTCTATATGGAAAGAAGAGAATAAATGATGCTCCCTACCCCTGGTAGAACCACATGTCTATAAGGCAGTACAAATAGAAACTGGGTAAGAGCTAACACTTTCTCAACAAATTAATTAGGCCTAAAGTACTGATGTAATTTATTAAATGAAAGTTAGCGGACAAACATCTTAATAAAATTTGAAAGTAAAAGGCAACAAGGTAAAATTAAAGTCTTTTAAAAACTTAAAAAAATGTTACAATCTGCGTGACACAAAACTTGTGAAAAATCTGCCTAAGAACATCAAGATGCCACATTAAGGCACCTTGAGCAACTGAAGAAGGTGAGTCAAGAAAATAATCAGTCCTCAGATCCAGGTTTTAACACTGTATTTCTAGAACTTTTATTTAATGTTTATTTTAAAAAATTTTTATATTGTTTACCATTCCTCTATATCCTTCCATTATCCTATGGCTTATTGTATGAGTATAACATACAACATAATACCAATAACATTCTGCCAATCATAGTATTTATTTTCTAGAAATAAAACCTCGGATAGCAAGGAATAAAGTTTGGTACTGTGATAGAAAAATAAATCACATACAATTCTCTTTTTACTCGAGCATTCTTAAAATTCTTTCATATCATCTCAAAGTTCTAATGATAAAGGGAAATATACTTCTACTTGTATAAAAGTAGCTATTTAAACTGAGGGTAAAAGACCTGACAAGCCATATGTTGGTGCTTAGAGAAAACAGAACAATATATTGCTGCTTTTAATAAGGCCTGTTTCTCCATAGGAATATCACAAATGATACCGTGTTTTCCCCAACATTATCTCCATCCTGACTCCATTTTCTTAAAAGCATAGAGATCTGATTCAATTTTTTTCTCACCTCTGTTTCTTAAGATGTTCTAGAATGGTTCCCAGACATATTCACATCTAATGATTTCACTCTCTACTGCCAAATAATTATCTCTACTACTTTACCTCCAAAATGTTAAGCTTTGAATTTTGCCTACAGTGACAAAACTCTTATCTAAAACCTCTTTCACTAACTTGTTCCTAACAAGTATACTTGTAATAATTTTTCTCACAGTGATACTCAGAACCATAATCTCTACTGTCCTAGGACATCTGTCTATTTCTGGCTTCACTTACTCATTTGTTCCAAAAGCATATCATCTGTAACACTCTTCTCTCAACCTTGCACTATGCCATTCCAACCTGAAATCACAGGTAACAGCTTAACACTCACTTCCTCAACCCTTGAGTTGCTATCACTGTATCACAGTAGTCATGTCTCATGAAAACTCAAAAGCTATTTACTATGGCAAGATCCTTGTCTATTATATAGGTGTTCAAAATTTATTGATAGTTCAAAGTAGCAGAAAAGAAGAGGTGATGACAGATTAAATGAGTCAGGTTGAAAAACATGTATTTATTTTAGCCAGAGAGGAAGAAATAAAATACAAAGAAGGAAATAAAAGAATGTGAACATAGGTGCTGGGGTTGTGGCTCAGAGATATAGTGCTCGCCTAGCATGCGTGAGGCACTGGGTTTGATCCTTGGCACCACATAAAAATAAAATAAAGATACTGTGTCCATCTATAACTAAAAAATAAACATTAAAAAAATAAAGTGAACATAAATGTGAGAGAATACAAATAAAGGAATATTGCAGAGGAGCAACCAGTGCTTAAAATTTCTTACAAAGATAAGCAGCCAGCCTTATAAAGGAAAAAGAACACCTCCTCAAAGACAGACAACAACAAAAACACAGACAACTGGTAACTAAGAGATCTCATGTTAGACTTGGTTTTATTAAAATGGGAATAGGTCTTTAGGTAAGGATGGTAAATGGTTATCAATGGTAAATGGCATTTATTGGATTATTATTGGACATTTAATAGAGATATGTGTTCTAAACAGAAGGTCACGGAGGAGAAAAAGAAGCATCTATTATGTAGTAGAAGATGTATATATACTTCACAACAATGACAGTCTCAGGAATCCACAGATGTGGAGCAAATAGGAAAATGAGGTACAGCAAACTTTTGCTAAAAGTGACCATTTTGTAAAATACTGGCTTCCAGTGTAGCATAATGTTAACTGTTGAATCTGAAGGACAGGTAAATGGAGGTTCATTAGACTACTCTATTTTTTCTATACCTTTCAAAATGTTTATAGTAAGTATTAAAAAAAAATTGCCAAGTACTGTTTTTTTTTTTAAGAGAAAGAGAGAGAGAGAGAGAGAGAGAGAGAGAGAGAGAGAGAGAGAGAGAATTTTTTAATATTTATTTTTTAGTTTTCGGCGGACACAACATCTTTGTTTGTATGTGGTGCTGAGGATCGAACCCGGGCCACACGCATGCCAGGCGAGCGCTCTATCGCTTGAGCCACATCCCCAGCCCCCAAGTACTGGTATTGATGGTGGTGGCAGAGTGCTTGCCTAGCATATACAAGGGCCTGCTTTTGAATCTATGAAAAAAAGAAAATTCTAGTAGTAGTCATATGATCTCAGAACCAATAACCCTCTTCCCTAATTATCTGACCAATTTACATAAACTTTCCCATGATTTTAGGAATTTCAGAGAGGTAATTAGATGCAGAAACATATACATGAGAATACTCTAAAATTCACTGAAAAAGTGCCTCAAAATAATTCTGTTTGAAAAGGATTTGTGCCACATGTCACCAAATTTGTTATATAGTGAGAATGCAAGCTAGCATAATGATTAGGCTAAGTGTAGGGGTAATAAAGATACAATATGAAAGTTAGAAAGAAAAGCATTTCTACTAAGCATGTGCTTAATTAAAGAACAAGGTTATAAACACTTACTTCATCTCTAGAACTTCCTCTAAGTGTTTCCTTCTCTCTGCCCGAAGATTGGTCAAATGAGTTTCCTTTTCTGCCAGAGACTGCTGAGTGGAAGACAGCTTTGCTTTCATGGACTCTAGTTCCTGCTTTACTTTCTCCATGGCCATCAATAGCTCCTCCACCTATGACAAAAATGGAAAGGAGAAAAAGAGAACATTTTGATCATTCAAAAGTCAGCGAGGCTGCAACATAGGCAACTACTGGGCCCATAAAATTGAGGGCACACAAGAATACACAAAAATTTCTCTACTCTTTCTGGATCAGACCTATATATCAAGATATAGTCAATAATGACTTCCTGATTCTATAATTCTTTTTAATTTAGATCAGAAATAACTTATTTTTTTCTGGTATGTACATATATAATTTTCTTTTTGAAAGTGCATATGTAAGTCATCAGTTCAAAAAAATCACACTTTGGGCTGGGGTTGTGGCTCTGTGGCAGAGCACTTGCCTTGTCCATATGAGGCACTGGATTCAATCTTCAGCACCATATGAAAATAAATTTTAAAAAAAAGATATTATATTCATGTATAAAAGATATTATGTTCTTGTATAACTAAAAAAATGCTAAAAAACAAAAGAAGTAACACTTTACTATAGAAAAATCCCTAAATGAATGTTGTTTGAAAATGGTCCAGAAATTTCCATGGAAATAAAACATAAAAATACAAAGAAAAAAATCATAATAAATATTGATAGGAGAATTTTAGGAAATAAAGGACATAAACTTAAAAAGATTCAGCATACACATAGTTTTATATATATATATATAAAGTTTTATATATATATATAAATTTATATATATATAGTTTTATATATATATAATATGTATATATATATAAAAAACTATATAGTTTTTATACACCTAAAGTATCATTTTTATTGTTTACACAATTAAGAATTTTTTTTAAAAAATAGCAGCCTATTGTCCCCCCAGCACTATTTAAAAAAAAAAAAAAAAGAAGAAGTCATAATTCAACCAAACAGTTACTTACTGTAACACCAGGCAAATAGACTTTTTTTTTTTTTTTAAAGAAAGACCGAGGGGACTGAGGAGACGAGTATCTGTCTGGTTGATACTGTTCTATCAACCAGATGGATAGGACAGCGAATGCTTTAAATACACTGGGGTAGGAGGTGGAGGAACCTTGATAGAAACAGACCTGAAAAACAAATAAAAACCACCCAAGGTGTGCATGAAGGGTGGAGGAGGGGATGCTAAATCATATGGAAAAGAAACTCAGAGAGCAAGATATGTATTTTTCTACTTACTCTGGGTGTTTACCTAATCAGAATTATTTAAATAAACAAGGTCATTTTTAATTCAGAAGTAAAAATAATGCTGATGAAAACATGTGTTATCACCAAAAAATAACCTCAACCAGGTAAGGAAATATCCAACTGCATGGGTATTGCTTTTCAAGAAATAATCTTGGTGACAACAGATGTTTTCAGAAGTTGCGATAGGGATAGGTAGAGCATTTATCATTGCTTGACTCCTACATAAACTAATTGGTGTGATACTAAAACTAAGCGCTGTCTGGAGAAAAAACTGCAGTATAATACACCAGAGTTGTTCACTGACCCCTAGAAAATAATGTCTGGTAACTAATCACATCTTGCTGTTGACTGGAATCAGCTGCTAAATACTCATAGTAGCAGATATATTTTGTTTTTTGGCACGTGCATTATTTTACAGAAGTAATCAAGTTGATGTCCTCAGCTAATGGGATCCTCACAGTACAAGTTACCATGAGAATATACTGTCATGCAGATTTCCTTGGGTATGTATTAATATCTGCAAGTTTTATATGAATATATATCTCCCTCTGCCTTGTAAGAACTACTGAAAAGATTGATTCAATTTTATCAGTTTAACTCATGTAAAATCTTATCTAAAATTGTGTACAAATGTTAAGTTCTTATGATACCACAAAATCAATAGTAGATAAGCACCATTTGTGTCCCTCTTTTATGGATTTACCTAAACAGATCTCAAAAAGTCTCCCTTCCACTCTATCCTTCACCATTTCAGGCAACCAGTGATATTAGCTTCTTAATAACTTGGAGAAATATTTTGCTGTACACAAGCAGGCATTGATTCCTCCTTTTCCTACCTATACACACTCACAAGCATCTAAACTTTTTTGTTCAATCTTTTATTTTAGTACAACATAAATACAGAAAAAATACTCAGACAATAAATGTACTCATTGAAGAATTTTCTGAGTGAACCCATCTTTGTAATCAGCACACAGATCCATAAACAGAATACTATCAGTACTATAGAAACCACCCTTATATCACCTTTCCAGATAAGGGTATTCACTACTCTGTTTTTCCACACTCTAGACTAGTTTGCATTTTTGCTTTAATTTTGTACAAATAGAATTGAAAAAATATATCATTTTACAGATTTTCTCAGTTTTAATCTGTGAGATTCATCCATATTTTTAGGTATAAATACAGTTCTGAAATTCTCATAATTCTATGCTATTACACTATGTGAAAATACCATAATTTATTTAAGAGTTGGATAAAGAGAATTTTTTTACCTTTCATTGAGTTTAATTAATTTTTCTTTATATTTTTTCTATGTTAAGAGCATTTTGTACACTGAATAATATTTTTACTACTTTAGGGTTATAAGGATACACACACACACACACACACACACACCAAAAAAAACCACTTGATTTCTGTATATATTGTAATGGTCAAAATTCATTTTTTTAAACTAATATAGATACCTGACTGAGAACTATAAACAGCACAAATTTCAAAAATCATGATTAGAAATAAATTTCCACCTATTTTGAAAAATATCAGAAATTAAAGACTACTTATGATATATAGGAAAAATGTTTCAACAATACTTCATATTGTAAACAACAAATTTTAAATTTCATAAATGAGCAATGTGAAATACAGCATGCATTTAAAAAGTCTTCCATATATATATGTTTCAGGATTAAGAACAAAACACACATCTACATACAGGAGTCCTCCCTTATTGATGATTTTGCCCGTGGCAGTTTTCAGTCACCCATAGTCCAGAAATAAACGATTCGTAAGTTTTAAATTGTGCACTGTACTGAGTAATGTGATAAAATCTCACACTGTCCTCCTCTATCCTTCCTGGAATGTGAATTCTTTCTTTGTTCTGTGTCTCCAACCTGCCTATCAATAATTTAGTAATTATATCAGTTATCAGATGCAGTGCCTTGGACTTTTAGGGTTTGTATTCAAGTAATCCTTATTTTATTTAATAATGCCCTGAAGTATTAAGTCGCAATTCAAATATGCCAAAAAGAAGTAAAGTGCTTCCTTTAAACAAAAGGACAAAAGTACAATAAGACATTTTGAAAGAAAGTATATGTCCATTCACATAATTATTATTATACATTGTTGGAATTACTCTATTTTTAGTTCTTGTTGCTAATTGTGTCAATTCTTAAATTTTATCATAGGTATACAAACACATCTGTAACAATATACTGCATATAGAATTCAGTATTATTTGTGGTTTTAAGCATCCATGGAAGGGGCAGGTCTTAGAAAGTATCTCCCACATATAAGGGAGAACCACTATAATCACTACCCAGGAGCATTGAAAGTGCAGTTAGCCAACTGTATGTATTCCACTAAATCTTTTGAGAAAGGTAATTTATGTTACTTTTTCCCTTATGTGTCTCTTTTTAACCTCATTTACGTATTTTATATGTACAATCTCCAAATAAAACACTACTCATTTTTATCAGTTTATGAACTTGTATAAATAAAATCTTTCTTACTTCATCCAACATTGTTTTTCATGAATATTTTTTAAAAAACCTACCATATGTGTGTATTCTCGAACCAAGAGCAAAACAGCCCCATGTACTCACCACCCGGAAGTGAGAAGCAATGACAACCCAGCAATACTGACCGCTGTGGCAGTCAGATTATGGTTTACCACTAAATTGAACAGGCTCCTTAGAAAAATGGTTGAGTCCAGATTTGGGGCTAGAAACATACAAATCATCTTTGCACATCTTGTGCTAGAAAGCAAGAAAAACAGGGATCAAGGTAAAAGGACACCAAAATTGGTGCCAAAACAAGCTTAAGATATCATGTTGGAGGGGGTGTGAGTGACTACAGAAAGAAGTGAAAAAAGCAATTCACAACCTCTATGAACATAGATACAAAAATGCTCACTGAAATACTCAGAAACCCAAACATGAACACAGTATCATGTAAAAATTGGGACTTACCCAAAGAATGGAAGTTGATTTAAAATCATATTAAAGAATACAGTATAAAAATCATATTGTTATTTCAATAAATGTACAGAAAGCATTTACCAATTCCTAGCATCCTTTTATGATAAAACACTTTAAAAACTAGGAATAGAAGAAACTCCCTAAAATGATGGACCAAGAACAAAATCAGACTATTTGCTCTTACTACTTCTATTTAACATTGTACTAGAGACAGAAAAATTAAGCCTTGCAAAAAGAATAAAAGTTATCCTGGGCTGGGGCTGTAGCACAGTGGTAGAGTGCTTGCCTAGCATGTGTAAGGCACTGGGTTCAATCCTCAGCACCACATAAAAATAAATAAAGGTCCGTCAACAACTAAAACAAGATTAAAAAAAAAAGTTACCCATACTGCAAGGAAAGCATAAAACTTCCTCTAGTTGAAGATGACATGCTGTTGTGTAGAGAAAAATCCTAAGGAATCTATTAAGAATCATTTATAATCAATGAACAGAGGAACATTGTTGGATACAAGACAAGACAGACAAAAATCAACTGGATGGCCATACAGAACAATACAAATAAAATTTTAAAAAATTCCATTTAAAATGGCATAGTGAACTGTGTAGGTATAAATTAAAAACAAAAGAAATGTAAAACATGTATACAAAAAGTTATAAAACATTCTTCAAAGAAATTAAAGATGACATATAAATGGAAAGACACTCAAGTTCCTGGATAAAAAGGCTTAATTTTGTTAAGATGGCAATACTCTGCAAATTGACCTACAGGTTCAAAATGATTCGTATAAAAACCTTAGCTGTTTTTGTTTGTTTGCAGAAATTGGCAAGATAATTCTCGAGTTCACATGGAAATAAAAG